CCCCCAAGTCAAACTGCAGTGATCAGTGTGAAACAGTACAACAGTGTAGGCATTAGAGGGAGGGTAAAGAGGAAGCCCAAATAGCTCAAGAGGTTGTTAGCAAGTTATTCCAGTCTGGTACATTAATGAAAATGTACAACCCCCTGTACTGACCTAAACTGGGGGGACTGGGGCATTGGTACATGTCCAGTTCACCTGTTCTTCAATGGCAGAGGGAAAGCGGGAATCAGCCACGTTAGCCATTCTTGCTAAAGCTTCCCAGAGGTGAGGCAGCGTCAAAGGCAAGTTTTGGCACAGGCCAGTCAGCCGTCGCCCCTCCCGAAGGGGATGTCGGGGTGAGCCTGCCCAGGTTATACTCCAAACTAGGAGCGAAGGTAAGGAACCAATAAAATGCCCAAATTCCGCTGACTTCCTTTCGCAGTCGGCTTTAAGTCTGGGCTGTGCTCGTTCTGTAGAAAATCAGTATTCTGATTCTTGAACTGGGAGCCTGGCTTTTTATAGCAGCAATAAGTTCACCAATAGAAGAGGGAAAACCCCACTCCTGCAGCCTTTTGCAGGTGCGCTGTGGGAGCTGCAGAAAGACGGAGTGATTGGCCTCTGCCTGCCTGATTGCAGTGGAACAGACCGCAGCTCATTTTTCTGTTACCCTTCTGCACTTGCAGTGTAATTCCAGATGTCAGCGTGCCAAACCCCACCGCTTCCCCGAGCAGTGACTCCCAACTGGGACAAGAAGTAGCTGAGAATGTTTTCCTGCATCCTCTTTTCTTCTGCTAAAGTTAATGACTGTCATCACAAAGCATCACAGCTCCAGCAAGCTGGGCCTTGCCTAATTTAGAGAGATTTGCATGCTGGCAGCATTCATTTTTTACCTCCAAGAAAAATGCATTGTCAGGGAAGCTTAAAGGCTTCCTTCAATCATGACTGCGTAGGCACTGCTGGCCTGGGTGCTATCAAGCGCTGTTATTCAGGGGATCAACATGGAAGTCAGCAGCCACGAAAAGCTGCAAAAACACATCTTTGGTGCAGAACTTGTTTGAATTCCGCATTTCTTTCTTCTCTTTTCAGGCCACTTCCTTAAAGGTGTGTTTTCCTTAATCTTTCAGATGTGTTTAGTTCTTTACTTCACTTGAGTCTGGGAATTGTTCCCTTTCCACGCCACAGACAGTGGATTTGTGGTCAAAGCCGGTCTCTGGTTTTCCTCCTGGAAGATATCTGTTGTTCCCTGTCTCTCGGTACCCTCGCGCTTGAAAAGCCGAGGAGAAAGGGAGGGGGTGAGGAGGGAGGTTTGAGGCAGAACAGAAGGGGAACTTAATGAATGAGAAACAGCTTCGACTGGAAGGCGGGGGCCACGTAGCTGGGGGGGACAGGGCAGGGAGGATCGTGGAAGTGGGAGTATAAACTGCTTGAGTATAAGGTAAGTTTTTTTTAAATCTAAATGCACTGTCTTTAATCCGATGTCACTTGACTTGCTGCCCATGCGCGCGTACGCGTGATCGTTTCGGTGCAGGGTTAGCGAGCTGGTGCGGGGGTGCGGTGCGCGGTCGCTGCTCCAAGTCGGCTCCTCCCAGGTGGGGAAGAGCTCCAGCGGCGTCTGGGGGGAGCGGAAACCCCTCTCCCGTGTGCCTGCTTTGCTGGAGCTCTGCTTTCGGAAAGTAGATTTCTCCTCCTTTACCATTTCCATTCTAGCTGCCTTAGCTGGGTAAATATGGAGTCTCTGGGCTGAAAATCATTCCCTGCTCTAACGGCTGGCCGGCTTGCTCTCGGGGCGCAGTGCTGCTGGAGGGAGCTCAGCCTGCTCCTAATGAATGTTCCTCTTGTATAAGACAGCTTTTCTTTGATTGTTTTTTTTTCCCTTTTGTAATTTGTTAGCTCTTCAAAGCGCTTCACCAAATCCTTTAAGTCTCTGGATAGTTCACTGAAAGAGTTGGTATTGAAGCGGTGGTGATTTAACTGGTGTGTACCCTGCGATTACGCGGGGCGCTGCTGCTTCTGCTGGGATGAGAGTCGTTCTCGGGGCGGGTGTTTGTGCTAGAAACGAGCCCGACTGAACGCCTCTCACCGGCTTCTTTTGCGGCAGTTTTCTTCTGGGCTTTTTCCTTTGCTCAGTGTCAGTGGCTGCCGCGGTGGGTCGCACCAGTGAACGCTCGCCGTGAGTGCTCGTGTCGAGGCACAGCGGGTGAAGGACCCAAAGGCTTTGTGCCGTGGCGGTGCCGCGGCGTGCGGGTTCGCTGGGCTCCCGGGGCAGCAGCAGGGAAGGGCCCCGGCGTTGCTCCAGGTGCCAGCAGTCAGTGCTGTCCTGGCTCAGAAGGGTTGCGACTTTCCCACCTGGAACGGAGACAACTGGTGATGGGGACCGGGGTCAGCATCGTCCTGCGAGCTGATGCTCCCTGTGCCTGGCGGTATGGGCTGCAAAGGGGCGGCTGGGGCACGGGACAGCCACTGCCGGAGCAGCACATTAAGCTGAATAATTATCAGGCCCTATCCATGGCCTGGCTCCGGGCTTGCATTACCGCTCCGAGAGCTTGTGCCTGGAGAAATCCCCGCTCCATAAATGTTTTCAGCAGATAAATAATGGCATTTGGTGGGGAGAGGGAGATGCATTGAGAGAGGGTGATGTCTGATAAATCGAGACCTTGGTTTGGGCCTGCGGGAACTGAGCTGCACTCTCAAAAGCAGGTTTTGTCCGCGGGGTGCCTGGGGCAGGGAGGTTGCTTCGCGCCTCTCCTGCGGTCGGGGGAGCCTTCGGCGCCCGGTGCCACCACGCGCCTGCGCCCCAGCCGTGAGCCCTGCTGCTGGGAGACGCCGGATCCTCTGCCTTGGTCCTGGGGATGGGCTGGATGCCCACCTGGGCCCGCTGTTATTAATTAAGATAATTATTCAGCTTAATGTGCTGCTGCAGGCCAGCTCATTTTTGCTGTAATGCTCAGCAGCACAGAAAAGCCTTGGAGGTATGAGGATGGGCGCCATGAGTCTTAGCAGCTGTGGAGAATGTTGTTACTGTAATTGGGGGAGGATTAAAGGGTCGAGCATTTTCTTGAAGCATTGGTAGGTTGTGGGCAGTGGGGTTTGTTCCCTGGTTTAACCCCTGCTGATTTTTTTGACCCTGGGTAAAAATTCAGGGGCAGCAGCATCACTGTTGTTTTTTGGGCTAAATGTTTTTTGGGAGTGGGGCGAGGGAGCGGCGCAGACCCCAGGCAGCACCGTCGGGCTCCGAGCTGCTGGAGGTGATGGCGGGGACATCTCACGAGGTGACAGGAGCTGGGTGGCTTTGTCTGATTCACCCCTGAGCCCTCAGCACGTCGAGGCGCGTGTTCATTCCCTGCCCGCCCCGAGGTGGCCGTGTGCCAGCGGCACCACGTGGGACACGAGGCGGCCGCAAGGGCTCGGGGTGGTGGGAGATCTCACATGCGGGGAGATGCTGAAACCTTCCCAAGGCAGGGATGGCCGGAGCAACGCTGCGACCGGGAGCTGGAGCGCGGCTGGGAAGAGCCCCGATGCGGGTTCTGGGCAGGACGCGGGGCTGATGCACCAGCTGCTGCCCGCACTCTGCCCGCTCCGTGGGGACAGGCAGAGCCGCCCATGCGCTGGGGGCCGGGTTGCGGCGCGGCGGCAGCAGAGTATGCAGGGAGAGACCAGTCTTCATCGCACCTCTCGTCGGGTCATGTTTTCTTGTCTCTGATTGTAAACAGATTTGACTAAAGAGGTAAATTAGAAGTTAATTAGAGGGAACATGATTGATGAGGCACTCTGGTGATGGGGAGGTAAGAAACTTGCACTCAGAGAAGGGTGAGGGGAGGGCGTTCTGCAGCGGGAGTGTCGCCCCTCGGCCCACGCTCCCCCTTCCCTCTGCAGCGGGGCCCCGGGACGTGGGGTCGGGGGCTCTGCTCCCCCCGGGGCTGCGGGGAGCGGCTGGCGCCGGGGGGGGGGGGGGGCCCGCCCCCCCGGGGGGGGGGGGGGGGGCGCCTGCCGCAGGAGGGGACGTGAGCCCATCACCTGGGCATCTGGGCTCTGCCAGGACACCGATCCGGGTCGGGTACGGGGTGCACGAAGCTGCTGAGCGCTAGTGGAGGATTTGGAGAGCGGGAGAGCAGCAGGGGACGGGGGAGATGCTGTCCCCAGTTTGCAGGGCCATCGGCTTCCTCTGTGCTCCGTGCGGGCTCTCGCCCCAGCGGGGTTTGCCCAGGCCAGGTCTTCTCCAGCCCAGTCTGGGCTCTGCTGGGGCGAGTCCTGGGGCAGCCGGTGCGGGAAGGAGGTGGCAGAGGGATGCTCGCACCCGCCCCGTGGGGGGCGATGGGGTGCGAGCCCCGGCGCAGGCGGCTGGCGGCATCAGGGGAGGGGGCAGATCCCAGCTGCAGACGCGCCGG